TATTTTGTAGCAGGTGAAACCGCTTTAGTCGACGGAGTAACCACCGAAGGGTTGGCATCTGACGTACACTTAGGGCATGAAGCGGGCGCCCAACTCTGATTTGTCTTGCGCAAGGCGGTCACAAATATAGAGTTACAGAGGCGGTCACAGAAAAATGAGTTAGAACTCCATCTTGCATGTCCGCATCATTCATTATTTCTATACAATCAAATTCGTCCTAGACAACACGAACTCAGTGAAACTTCTAATGTATCGAAGGTTTTAAAAAGCTACTGAGAAAATCCAAATGGGGATGTGACACAGGGAAGCCTCCAGGTTTGTGTGTTTTGGATAGACATCACATTCACGATGTAGAGGGAAGTAGCAATATCGATGATGATAGTGTGCTTCAGGTAGTAAGTCTGTGTCGATGCACAGCTTCCGCGTGGCTTGGTTTCTGTTTACTTCTTTGAATACCATCAGAAAAATCCCTATCCCCAATACGTTTAGACTGAACAAACATTGTCACGTGCATAGGTGAATCGCAAGTGAATAAAGAAAGCATCTGATCGATCGTTAGTTCATAGGGTAGGAAATCAGAATCCAGCCGCTTAAACTAGACCTTGGTGTCCGTAAAACCTTGACTGCCTTTAAACTTATGCTTCCTTATACTTCACTAAGTGTTTTCAACTTATAGACTCTCTCAGTTGCGACTAGTAGGGCTAAATGACACATAAACATGCTGGATTTGTGCATGTATTCAACAACCGATGCCTTCAGTTACACACGTGATCTTTAACTAACAAGCTATCATCATGGAAAACAAGTTGTTATCTAGACGTAACACACCACCCATAAAGTTGCCGAAAATCCCTAGACAGCTCCCGCCGGTTTCACCTTTCCTATTCGGGTTCATCAAGTAGGCACAGCCCTCGGTTTTTCCTTGAGTTAGCCTTATGTCTTAGTTGAGCCTAAATTAGATGGATTTAGAAAAATATTCTCATTTGTATACAAATTTGATTTTGAGACAAAAGTCAACTCAGTTGAACCCTGCTCAATCTCTGGCTTGTCTGTAATAGTCCACTTCAAGTAAATGTCTGGTACCAGGCCGGCTGATGCTTGAGTTGATATAGTATTCGAAATATCGAAATATGCTGCTTTCTGTTGGTAGTACACTAAACATAAAGTTGCTGAAAACTCTTCGACAGCCGACTTCGTCCTCCTTGGAGCTCATCAGGTAGGCGAAGTCCCATCGTAAAATAGAGATTGGGCTGGATTCATTCGAGTCCCCTGTCAAAGCTAATTTCGTATGCAAATAAAAGTATTTGTCAGAAACAAGTTTTGCTCTTCATCGTAACTGTTTGGTTGTGGTGTGCAACCTGTACACAAACCGCTGAACGTGTCATATTTGGTTCTTGTGAACTTTCTGACAACTGACATCATTTTTAGTTCACCTTCCCGACTGTTCGTACGTTCCGAGATGTCTACAACGACGCGCGAAAATTTCATTCAAAGTAACATCTTTATTCTGCTGCAATTATATGAAGAGCTTGAATTTCTAGAACTGGAAACTGTTTTTTCCATTTGTATCCTAACACTGGTAGACCAGGAAGACAATTCAGCCATGCTAAAAGTTCCGACCAATCGATATATCTTGCATCGTCGAATACCAAGCGCTAAAACCAAGCAACATGTGCGAAACACATTGTGGCAACCATCAATCATGGTCTGACCTGCTCGTCATAACGACTGTATGTTAGCACAATGAGCGTGTGAACGTATTTTTGGTTTCAAACCACTTAGTATATGTGTTGAAGCTGGTATGACAGCCTTGTTCAAAGCTACGAGCGGTAGGATATACTGAGAAGGGTTCTAGTTTGCAGGACGACAGTTAAACTTCCCACTCCAAAGCCTCCACTTGCCAGTTCAGGTCTAATTTAGAGAGGATTGGTGGGATGTGTACATGACGTATAAGACTATCGAAGCCAACGGACCTTAAGATTTTGTGATTTCTAATCGGCCAGAGAAATCCCCATCAACTGATCTGCCAAATAGACTTGGGTTACGTCACACTTCACACTTCAACCAAACAGCGGATCTCATACCAGCGTCAGGTAGACTGACACTCAACGGATTTCTGTTCTTCTGGTTTACGCAAAATCCAGCTCGCAAGTTTCTTCAATGGTGATTTCGTCCCGTGAGTGGTCACCCAGTGCCGAAAAACCGAAAACCACTGTACAGATATTTCCTGCCTACTGGAAGTCACCAGGGGTGCGCATCTTAAGAATTTCTATACAGATTCGAACTAGCGACTTCCCGGTCAATAGGTAAGTGCTAGGCCTTTTCGCTACGCATATATCTCATTTTGAGAGGATACAGCGCCGCTAATTCCCCGAATCCACATCACCTAGTCAACTTTGACAACCCGCTGGGGTGACGTAGGGAGGTGCTATACACTGTCTGATTGTGATTTAATCACACTGCTGATCAGACACTCGTGGCCAGACAATTAAGTAATCATCTAATCGCAGGGACGTCGCGTGTTCGAATCACCTCGGAGGTTCATGCGATTTGCATTGCTGATAATTCTCAATAAGGGTGACACAACTATGAAGTACTTTGGGCTTTTGAGCATGGGTAGACTCCATTCGGAAATCCTTTTATACCCTCACAATACCCACAATTTTGTCGTCTTCGAACACCCATTCGCAGCAATTTGAACTGATTTGTATTAAAAAAACTCTGGTGTATTAGTGCCCAGTATGCTGCCCAAATTCGCAACCCACTGATCGATGCAAGACAAAGACGAATTACTAAATGGCCAACGTTTTGTCATTGAATCGCTGAGTCTCACCAGTTTTCGGACGCAAAGCACGTGACATGTATGAGCCTAATCCAATCAGCATCAAGGCCAAAACAATGTACTGGTGATTGCTGATCAGATGCCCATGTGCTTGTCTCGTAATCGGGGTAACAAGTCTGTGCTGAGAGTTTGGTCATGTGACAGTCAGCAAAATAGGAAAAAAGCGACTCGTCCATTAAAAGTTGATACTAGTTGGCACATCTGCTATATGTAAGTGAATTTGGTGCGATCAACCCAATGAACACTCGGCTTCTAAGGTACGCAGAACCATTTAACGGGTTTCGATGGCCAGGGAGCTAGTTGGGTTACATGTTTCGTGAAATAATCAAACGAATTTCTTCTAAAACAGCACCCTATAAAAGCTATAACCTCCTGGATTAATAAGCCCAACACAAATGTAAACAATTGAGTACTGTCACAATCCTTGGAAGGGTAGCTACTTACACCACAAGCTATGCGTCATGGCTACAAAATGATTAATTTCTGAAGTTATTCATTCCCACCTCCCAAAAAAGGGAAACTTGATGAAGGTTCAGCGATATATTCACGTGTGGCTCAGGAAAATTCCAAGAAAAGGAAAAAAACCCAACCGCATTTTGAGTCGTTCGAAATATAACTAGCATCACAGCTTTAAACCCAATTTTGGATGAAATGCCTTCTTTGGAGTTGGTCTTGCCATTAGTACCTGCACTATCCGAGAGGCCGCAGCATTTAAAACACTTTGAGTTACGATCCTGAAGCCGAAAACTAGTCAGTCAGTTGGCTTCGAGCCTAAACTCCAGCGGTAATTCAAATAAACTGGGCTTCACTTTAGCCCTCAGCATCTCAGCACGAATTGGCCAGAATTCTACGTATGAACTGTACTACTATGTAAAGGCGGAAAACGCAATATTGTATGGAGGCTTGTTCACAGTTCGGCACGTTTCGGTTCAAAGTAACGGTTAAGCTATCTTCTGATAGATTGTTTAATGTGTCCATATGTGTGATTGGTTGACTGCATTCCATGGATCACACAGCACGGACGAAGTCATGTGAGTGCTGTTTATGCCGTTGGCGTCAGTATGTGTTGGCGTAGCAGATTTGTGACATCATTCACGTTTTGTCCTTTGAGATTTTTCAGACGATAGCAGGAATACATTCTCGTGATTTGTTGCATAGGCTTCCATTATGCATATTTTTCACAACAAATGTAGAGTTCCCAGTCGAAATGTAATGCAGTCTTTCTGTGTGACGGTTTGAACTCAAAACGTGACTCTTTCCAAGGCAGCCATCCCCATTTTGCGACCATCTTTTTTACTCTCACCAAATACCCGCTACAGCGTCCAAAGGACGGGTCTTTAAATACCTGATACATCCCATTCGATTTTCTGTGTTCAAATCGACCAAATGTTAGCCCAGCTGTTGAATATCAGCCTGTTTTGTCTGTGGTTGTGTAAAATGGGTAACTTTTCCACTCTCCAAAAGGAAAAATGAAACCGTATTTTATGGCCATATATCAGAAACAGCAGAACTGCAAGTGACAAGGAAGAAAGCTAGTAAACAACTCAAAGGTGCCGGTCAGCAACCTGAGTTACTAGGACCATCGTCCGTTGGTTATTATCCGAAATGACTGAAACGTAGTGCAGAGTGTAATTTTGATAATCCGAATTATTGTACTCATGACAGATGAGCGCACATTGGATCGTTTAACGTTTTCCATTGCGCCTGAAATCATGGGAACCTTCGATGAGTTGGTTTTTTCCAGTCTTTGGGATGTGGTTTCAAACTTATCTAGACGAATGAGCCAACCACGCAGGCTAAATAACATGTATGTCGAGTCGAGGATAAATTTTCCATGAAACAATTTGCTGATTTGTTTCTTCTCGACTTTTCCCATGATTTCGGAGTTCACATGCTCACAGACAGCGCCACATCTTCCTTGTTGTTACGGTAATAAGAAGTTTTCTGACGCGACATCAAAATCAATTAGAAGATTAGAAATTTAATTGCAGGTGGTCCTCTGACCATGATCGGATGGTTGCATTGTTGAGTAAATGAAACCCACACATGAGGTAGTTGTTGACGCTGTGTACAGTGGAAATTTTGGTGTCGCGTACGACTTCCAGCACCGTGTACCCATTAAAGCACATTTTGTATGCTTTGAGCAGTCGGGTGTTATTCATGCCTCCATCATCACCATTTTGTTGTTTTTGGAAGCAAATAGGCAAGGTCTACCTGCAGGTGAGATGGGATGCTGAGCCATTTACGGTGTCCAAAAAGACAGCGGACATATTTACAAGGAACTCGCGATTGTGGGCTACAATCACTCAAAATCTCTCAGATATATCAAACGATCCGCAGCTTTTTGTCCTTAGTAATTTGATAATGTTGATCGTCCCCAGCATTCAGGGCACCATTCAGGTGTATCATGGGCATTTGCACATCCTTGTAGGAACAAGTGTCGTTCGCCATCTTGATGACGTTTAACTAAAAGCTGAAAAATCAATCCATGCTAATTCCTTTTAAAGCAATTTGTAGTACTCTGATGAAATGAGCCAGTAATTAGACGAAAAACACGACTGTGAGGATATTAGTTGTTTGGACTTTTTTGGGACTAACCTCTGTTCTGGTAGATCTAACATCGGGCCTCAGCTGAGAGTTACCGCAAGCGGTGAATAATCGGGAAACTCTATTTCGTACCTCAACGAAAACAGTCAGCCTATGGTAGACGGAGAACATCCTGGTTGACCTTTGCCTGATGGATCACATTGAATGAAAATTGTATTTTGCAATACTCGTTTTGCACACCAGTTAAGTCTCAATGAGAGATTCAGCTGAATCTAAGCTGAGGCTCTCATCTATGATATTAGTTTTAATTGAATTTGCTACATATGTTACCTTTGGTACGACACTCAAAACGTGGCAGTATATTTTCAAGAAAGAACACTGCCCATGAGTTCGCTGGTAACTCTTCAACAGCCTGTCATCGGTTTCTTGAAGATCACCAAGTAGACACAGTCCTTGGGTTTTCAAATTTCTATTGTAGTTGAGCCCGGATTATGCTCTATTCGCGAATAAGACTCACTGGTACACAAATGTGGTTCATCCTGAATTAAGTTAAAACCAACATGATGCGCAAATGAGTGTAGTTTATCGAAGTCCGTGCAATACTACTTGAAGTAAAACATAGAGATCACAGAAACTCACAGACTACACCCAGCCCCCAAGTCACAGGAGGGGCAAAACTGGTCTTGGGCTTCTGGAAAGTTTTCAGCAAACTGTGAGTAGTGTTCTGTCAAGAAAATATCCTCGACTTTTGCCTATCTGGGGGGAATGAGTTTGGTTGCGGCCCCCATCAGTGTAGAACAGGTGGTTCACCTTTACTTTGAAGGCATTTCACCTGCCTGTGTGGTTCCTCTGTGGTAGCCAACCCATGGAATTTTGGCGAACCATGCGGAAAAACTTTTAAAATTAAGAAATTTTCACCAGTTGAGAGGAAGAGCTTTCAGCTGCTGATGAGTCCTAGAAATGTCAAAACGTGTCACCTTTATCTCACCATTTACCCCAAACACAAATATCCTCAAGAGCTCTTCTATTTATTCTTGAGGTGTTGTTGAGTTAGCATCTAATGTGTCTGATGAACTCAACATCCTAGTGTGGATACGTTTACCAACCCGTATTAGATCATCAGGAAAAATCCATAGTGAAGAAAACACCTCAGTTCTGGTTGCTTCCAGATGCTGACCCCCTGCAAACGTTCTCTCGTATCAGAGAAGCCCCTGGGTATATACTTTATACTTTTAAATCCGGCCCAATGTTCAAGTTCCCAATGAACCTTCTAAAAGTTCTTCGTAACTAGGAGTTAAAAATCCAAATTTCTATGGACCTCTGCCACGCACTTTCAAATACCGTATACCAGGATAAAACCGGTGCCACTCTCCCCTCGTTGTTTAGTCGGTCTTGTGTCATGAAATCAGTTTTCGGTAGTTTAAGCCTTTTACGGAGTTATTAACTCAACTCCTCCAGAGAGTTTTCTTCACTTTTCGTACCGTTCCGTAATGGCTTTGAGGGGCATCAGAGATATTAATCTGCTAGAATACGGTCCTCTTTTTAACCACATCGAAAACAATAAGTACTATGAATAGCCATCTCGGAGTGTCCTATCGTAACGCGCTTCATTTCATTATAGGCACATTCAACAGCACAATAAGGCTGGTTCCACTGCGCTTTCTAGGAAACCTCTGCCTTTATAGCTCGTTAACGTTGCACACTTGAAATTAAAACAGTTTTTCACTTACTCTGGGATAATAATTAATCCACACTTTTTACTTCCTGTGTTACGTAATCCAACAGGTAGTCTGAATAAACATCCAACAGAGTTTTTGGAAGTTGAGACTTCCTATTATCAAATTTCCACTACGTTTCTGCTTATGTTCCTATCGACTCGGACAAATTTACCCGGCAGCAAAGATCTCGCTCGTCACCCGTGCGATTACAATTTGATTGGTTAGATTTTGAACGTCTACGCCAGACCACCGAAGTATTCATCCAATCAGCAACCAGCATCATCAGCATCAAATGTTGACAGGCCTAAACAGACAGGTTAGGCATCACGTGAATGTCTATAAAGCGGTTGGTGTATTTCTGCCACGACTACCGCCACTCTGCAAGAGCAGGTAAATCGATGCTCACAAAAGTCAATTGCCAAACACGAAATAGTCCAAGAGCATAGTGAATGTAGGGGCGGTCGGTTAGTAATGGAGTTGAAGAAAATGTCAGAAAATGTGGAAAATCGTCGGCAGGCTTGGTGCTGCCCAAAAATAAATCTACAAGATTTTTCAGCAGACTTATGAGTTGTATGTTACGTCTATAAAATCCACAGATTGTTTTCTAAACTTTTTTGAAGCGATGGCATCTTAGTGCATCCCAGTTGTTGCCAAACTGATTGAGTTGGTGGGTTTTATCCACCAAATTGTGTCAGTTGTGAGTATGTGCTTAATTGGGTTGTTCGTAGTTATTAAGCAGTCCTCGCTGTATTTCGTCTAAACATACGAAAGGAATGTATGGTACGTCACGGATAGCCTCTAGTTGAAATTGCCAGTTCATCTGCTATTCTTAACTTTTTTCAAAGTTACTTCGTTAGCATTCCATTATATCGTATCGACGTGGTTAGCATTTTATCCCCTTTTGATTTTTGTACGTATTCAGTGTATACATCCGAAAACGACTTACTGATACGCCCTGGGTATTCTGGAGTACTGAGTCTATAACAAATTCACGAAAGCGTCTCGATGGCGACTGCTGTGCCGACTAGGATGAGTAATAGCTAGGATTAGCAGGCAGTGAATGTGTGCCCAGTGTGGATCCTGTAAGTGGTGCAGGCCCCAATACTACTACTCTCATACACGTTTTTTGTTATCTTGATAAACCTGGACCACCAGTTGGGCCTGTTGATAGTCTTAGAACTGCCCCTTTTTAACCCTTTCTGCGGCGCAGCGCAAGCCGTACGTGACACCATCTACTGTGCGAGGAGTTCTATCGGCGTGGCTTAATGAGCCAAGCAATCCGGAAACGCATTCTAATGGTAACTTTGTCATTTCAGCTGTTTTTCTTCAGATCACTTTCTAATCACAAATAGTAAAACCGATGTTTAAATCATTTCGCAAACTGACGATGACCAAAACCCCGGATCATACGTGGCTCGAGTCAAATCCGCTAACCATGTCATCAAGCTGACCTCGGGAAATCCATTTCCACCTGGCCTAGGCGGGTAATTCGGTGGGTGTAAACGGTTGAGGTTTCTATCTGTCTGAGCTTGCCGAATTTTTTCCTGTTTACGGCAGAAACCTTCGCTTACCTGTAATTTCTCGCCTAGACCCTTGCTCACGATAGTGCATTATGAAATCAGAAGCTGTATTTCCAGCTTGGTTATAGATAACAGGCCTTTTGGAAACCAAAATAAAGGTTAATATGGACAAATGGGCAATTTTGCAAAAATAACCTCGATAACCAATGCACCAGGAGGATTCGAAAACTGAACGTTCGTTTCTATCCACACGACTCTGATGGCGCTCTTACCAGGGGAAAAATTGTCGCAGAACACATTTTGACTGTATACTTCAGGTACAGTCAGATTTTACGTGAAAACAAATTTTACCTGATTGCTTTGAAGAGAAACCCCATCAATTTAGAAAGCCTGCATCTACAGAGGAAGTTTGCTGCAACAGTCTTTAAGCCTTTCATAAACCTCCTGTAACATGTCATTAGAGGAAATACATTTGCGAAGGATCTTCTTTGCGTAAGATTTGTTTATTGAACAGTGTTTTGTATATATTTGGTAACGAGCCTTTAGTAATTTTCAAATGAGCGATTCTAGGTTATACACCACACTCCATCACAGAACCACAGTCTGCAACGACACAGCTACCAAGAGAAGCGAAACCACTTCCCCAGGAGAGGCCAAGTTTCCTTTTTCATTGTTCGTGTTTTGTTTTGTCACCAAGTAAACTGTCCCTACTCGAACAAGCAACGATAAATAGAATTTGTACAATAGTAGTGATCCACGTCACGTTTCTTCGTGAGGTCCACTAAATCTGGTTGAACAAGCTAGCGCGAAATGATGATACCATGTAAGAGGGAGTATGTGAATGACGTCTTTTGCAAGGTTTCCCTTTAAAACTTGGTTGTTCCTGAAGGATTCTTGCGGATTATGAGTCTTGCATAAAAATTTGTCTTGAGGTTTTCTACAGCCGACAACTAATAAAACACCATTTGCTTATGGGCTTGTGTGAACCATAGGACCTTAGTTCTCCTCAGATATCCATCAGTTGTTCTCCGAATGTCAGAAAATATTCCCTTGGGATATATTAGGAGACATCCGAGAATGTGAGTGTGTCCACAAAGTGTATGAATCTCACGTCCCTCCGTTTCATCACCTAAGATCGACACGCTCGAACAACGCTGAAGCCAACCAATCAGGGCTAGGTGGTGATCGATCAATTAGAAGGCTATCCGAACAGAGTGACATTCATACACCATATTTTGCTATAGAATGATAGATGACAATTGTTTCCTCAACCTTGTCGTCAACATCCTACGAATAGTACCGAACAAGGGTTACGTGCTCACCCTGCGTATAATAATCGCCTGGAAAATGTCACCAGCAACCCTCGAGCACCTTTTAGTTAATATAAAACGAATCATTCTACCTAGAGAATGCTCCATCAGTAAGCACTGTCCTTCAGCTAAATTGAGGACTTTTATAGATGTGGCTGTGAAACCACTCTTGAAAACTAACAGGATATCTTTGAAACGGGTCTATAGCTGATCAGAAACTATGTTCCTTGATCTGTGATACGAGATAAAAATCTCCAAACGAAATACCGCACTCCAGTAAAATTATCGGTTTGTGGAGTTAAATTTGGAATGACTTTGAAAGTTCCAGACCTTTGGTCCCACATGCTGCACTGTCTTCATGAGTTTGAAAAGGGACTGGTTTACGCCGGTCGCCTAACTAATATAATAGCAATGGGATCACTGTGCTTAATGCGGTATTTCCCATATTCTTAGTCAGTTTGGCCCCGTACAAATACTCCACTCCATCCACTAAAAGGAATTGGATGATGAAGGTTTTTAGCGATCTAATAGTAAGCGAAGTTGAGTGACAAGTACCATTGTTTTTTTTTGTGAAAGCACACATTAAGTAATTCTGCAGTCCAATCCAAGATATTGTTTTGTCCCTCTGCCTGTCAGACGAACTGACGTTAGTATTTTTGTTGCACTTGTTAACAAAACTGGCAGAAGTTGATACGCGAATATTTTCTGTCGATTGTTGGGTTTGCGACCCGCCCATCGGTGTTTTCAAATTATTAGGATGGCTTTAAATATTTTCCACATTGGACATCTGATTATATCTGTCAAATATTCGATCAGGTAACAGAACATTTTGATTTTCTGAAGGAAAAATACTCTGATTGGATTTCAACAAAAAACTTAGCTGAATCCACCAGAGCCTCTCATCTATGATGGTGTTTCTTAACCGAAAGTGCTTCACAAGGTCACCTCATGTCTCACGATGTTGTAGATTTAGCAAAAAAACCCGCCCTAAAGTAATACGCTATTCATAGTGTTGCTGAAATCTCTTCGGCATTCCAAGACCGGTTTCGTCCCTTCACTTGGGTAAGCNAGCTGTCCGCTCCAGTGCAGAATTCACCAAATACACTCATTACTTTTGATAGGAGGCTCAGCCGAATCCAGCTAATTCGCTGTCAATCAAAATAAGAACATAATGACGGGGGGATTCAGCTGGGATCAGCAAAGTCTTCCGTTTAAAACTACCCAATGTGCAAATGAGATTATTTGACGGATTCCTTCTTATTTAGACTTAAACAGGGCAAAAGGTTGACGGAAACTCAGGGACTATGCCTAATTGTTAAGCCCGAAGTAAAAGGGAGAAAGCGGTGGTGGGCTGTTGGAAAGTTTGCATCAAACTAATTACTGGTGTTTTAGGTCGACAAAAATGAAACCGTTTCTCATGGTCAGAGACGAATAGAAGTAATAAAAAACTATTCAGCTGATCTTAATCTTCGCATCTCATTAACACGAGATTTTTTCAAATGATTGCTTGAATTCATCGGAAAATTAGGGCAATGGACGAAGACTCAGTCAGTGAACTGAAGATAAAACCACAGCATCCCACAGCAAATAGTTGTGATAATTGCTAAAGAAATAGTTACAATGGGACAGAAGCTTCCTCGCGAGAATTTCAAACCAGCATTTCTGCGTGGTTTTAACCGTGCGAAAATATAAAAACGTTAGGTTTGTAGTTTCGTAACTAATTTTGATTGAATAAACGCTGTCCCCACTTTGGTACCCAAGTGTCGAAAAAAGATTTACCAACAAGGAACACCATCGCCCTAGATAGGGCGCGATTTCAACCTGGAATGCAGGCAGTCCGATCGGCATTGGATGAATGCTGATACTCGTCAGTTGCGCTTTTGTGGATGCCTGAACACTCTTCACCGTCGGGCATGCTTCAGTGGCAGCATTGAACACATCATCGACTGCTGCTACCGAGTAGATTGACTACTTGGGCATCCGACAGGAAGCTGGCTTTTCCGGCCCGGATGCCTGATGGCCCCTCTACTGCGATTTTCATGGGATTTTGGGACTCAGTATTATCTGAACCTCCTGATATACGGGGACACTTCTTTAGGGGATACCACCAGGAACGCAATATGGCTACGAAGAAATACGCTCTATTTGCTGATGGGATAAAATCTCTGTTGGAGTTCCTAAATTTTCTCATACTATCAATAGATATGTAAGGTTGCTAACCTGCAAAATTTTCATTGGATTACCAAGTAATCCAGTAAGCTATGTAACCTTAAAATAATGGTGCGAATTTAAAAACGGTAAATAAGGACCACCAATAAAAAGATTTTTAATGGTGACATTCTCGATATTTGCAGTGAAGTAATGAAAGTGAATGAAATAAAATGTAAGTCTCACGTTGAATGTGAGTAAGAACATCCTAAACCAGAGATTCAGTTGGGTTCCAGGTAAGTATCCCGTCAAAACCAAACTGGTATACAAATGGGTGTGTTTACTCAAAAATTGAAATATGTTCAAATAAGGAGGATTCTTCAGGCGAATAATGATGATCTACTGTCAGTCAAGGCCAGCAGCATGTCACGCAAAAAGCACATAGGATGGGCACCGATTCCTTTATCTTGAGTCATTGCGGACATTTTTATGTAACTGTTTTTTGCATAATCCGTGGCGGGTGTTCCCAGTAATGAGAGACTTTTTACTTGTTGAAATGTGGGTCGGAAACAAACCGTGTTTGTTTACCACCTGTGAGCAAAACGACATTCCTTGTTATCAGCGAAAGTTTTTTTGCTTCTTTGAAACTAGGGGCATAAATCAACCACCTAGGTTCTTCCTCTCGGATTTGTCTAAATATTCACTTACCTCTCTGATCCAAAAACTACTGTCTTTGAAACGGGGACATCGTTTCTGCACAAAGAATCACTTGAAGCATATGGAAACTGTAGGTTATCATAAACGAGAGATTCAGTCGAGTCTCTCGTGAGAACCAATTGATTTGCAAATGAGTGTATTTCTCGGAAACTGTACCTCCTTCAGGGTACAATTCCAAGATGTTCAGCTCCGTAGTCCCACGTAATCTGTGACGTTTGCGGCTACCTTAATAGAATTGGATGAACGGCAACGTCCATTTGTTTTCCGTTACTAGATTGATTTTCTAAGTGGTTTAGAGGCATCATATAATTCCTTACGTCAATAAGGTGTGAGAGTTTTGCGATGGTTAATGTGTACACCTCACCTATGCGTAGTTTAACATAGAGAAAAGGGAGTTGTGGTTTGGTCAACTCCCCGTGTGCATATCGAAATTTTAGGCAGTACATAATTTACGCTGCTCTTTTGAGTTGACGGAAATATCTGCTTGGTAGATATGGGTCTTATGCACTGCCACATGAAATCACAGAATGGTGGTCTACTCAGAAGAGATATACTGCATATTCTTCTGAAAGTGTGAGAAAATTTTGCAATTTTGTTGGAAATTTCATCCTGTATATGGAGCAATTTTATACCGACGTGATGAAAAGCATAGTATAATCGTTTCGTCCTTATTGAGGACCATCGGCAGTGCATATCTGGAGTAATTCCAGGAGGTCATGAACCCGCGACCTCCCAGCTGGTAGTTCGAAAAGAAACATCTGGTCATGAGAGGTTGAGCAGTATTGTGACTAAAAGGTAAGGTAAGCAGCACTATATCTTGTCTATGTGTGAGTTAATCACCGCCGATCTGAAGCAGGTAGCTGAACGGTTTAGCTTTCAAACAACTACCCTGAAGGTCACGGGTTTTATACTCCCTACTATGCTTCCAGAACATGGGATGGGACAGCTAAGCCATTATGTTTACATATGACTGTATTTTGACGTGTGTTATGGATTTTCATGAACCAGGACCCAACATTTTGCGACACAGTTGTTCAGAGGTTGGTTATCTCTCGTTTGCTTTCATTCCTTTGAACAGACCCTGATGTAGATGTGAACATGTACAGCTTTTGGGAACGAAGTACGTACACCAAGTTTATGGGCGACTTGCAATAAAACGTCTGTGCTGGGAATTTTGTCTGAGTTATTCAGCCATCGTAAATGCAGTAGTTTAAAATATATTCATTTAAAAATTCCACCTTATTGTTTGCTTACGTGATTGTTAAACTAGCCAGGTGTGACTAGCAGGTACATTTCACACAACAATAACAACCATCTCTGGTATGCTCCTTAAGCTCAATGTTCAACGTTCTGAACTAATAATACTTGATACACTGGGAAGCTTCATATTTCTTTTGTTTTAAATGAGTCAAAAGCCGTTACAGACTGCGGAAAACTCACCTGGTCGGGAAACTTCCGAAGAAATTACGACACCGAAAAATTAAAATAGCTTCGGCTCAGGCTGTGATAGCTAGTGTAGAAGCAAGCGTTTTACATGTCAAAATGTCAGATCTGAGGCACACCATCCTTTTGAAATCCTTTGTAGCTCCTTGAGTAAAAAGATTCCATTTCGTGTGGACGTAGAGCACTGTTAAGCAGATGGAAAGAAACCAGTTGATCGAAAAGTTGGGGAAATGTTGGTTTCAACCGTAGAAATAAGACAAATTCCAAGGAGCTTGCCATATGGTCTGTAACCAACCAAATTTCTCGCTAATCACTCATATTACTGCTTGCCTGTAAGGTAGCTCATTGATAAAGGCCAGAAATCTCTGAACAGAAGGTCCTGGGTTTGAACCCAACTCCAGGATCTCGACTGGTTCTGCCTAGGCTTGAGCAACCGGGAAGTATTCCAACCTCATGCTTAACCCGATTGGAATAAAAGTTTGGCAGCGACGGGGTTTTACATCTGAACGATTATCGTTTATTCATTATTCGTCCGCGAGAATTACCTACACTTCAATGCTGTGAAACGAATTTCAGTTTGGTGTGCCTTCTGTTATTATTTGC